TGGCATGCCCATGCATACATATTACTGCATTTACAGTTTTATAGGTAAGTCTGTGAGCCTAACTATAATTTCAGTTCATGGGAAGTCATTCATATCAGGCAGCTCCAATTTCAAATAACTCAATGGGAAACTGGCACTTAAAATTACAATCTCTCCTGGCCATAAGTCCTAACGAGGAAACAAGCAGAAGAAGCATGCATCAGTCATTCTAGACCTGGAGCAAACGCTGCTGTAATTTATCTGTACTGTTGGTAGCTGCTACATTTATTTTATTGTGAGTCAAGAAAAGCAGAATCCACACACACTTTTCATGAGAGGAAGAGGTTATTACTTCGTAGCTGTTATGTTTAATCTAATGTTGGTGGAGGCTCATTATGTATCATATGTTTTCTACTGAACTTCTGCCTAGCCACTACATTTTTCAAATTAAATTAATAATTCACAAACACAAAGGTTACTGTAAACAATTTAGGGTTCCCCCCATGTTATTTCCTGCTGTGCACTGAGCAATAGGAAACATTCATTTAAATCTAAGAGTATTCAGAAATTATTAAATATTGACTCACTAATCTTTTGCCTTAGGATCTTATAAATGTTTGAAGAAAGATGATTAACCTGCAGGTTAATTTAAATTTTCAATTTCATTAGAAGAACATTTTTTTTCTTGAAAAACTGAAATCATGTGTATATGGAGTGATGGTTTCTTTTAAAGTTTAAAGACATTAGGGAGTTTAGTCTTTTATACCTTGGGCCTTTTCTTGCAAAATAATTTCATAGATGTAAATGTAGTTTTAATTTTCTGTACCTATGAGTTTTCCACAGGAGTTTTAGGAAAACTATTCCTGAGTGGGACCAAATTAGCACTTGACTTCTAATTTCATACTTACCTTTGTAAATGTTTTGGGTTGGGTCCCTCCACGCCTGATTTTCTCACATATTACCACTCTCTATTTGCTACTGACCCCTTTAAAATGTAAAGGAGACTTTCTCCTTTATCCCCAGTTTCCATGTACATAGAAACACAAGAAATAAACACAAAAATTCTCAGGTATGACTGAAGTTTAGGATAACTCCCTCATAGGTAGAGTGTTCAGTCTACTGTGGACAAGATAAATATGTCTGATAAATGGGTAACTGTAATGGGTTGGGAAGCATTTGTAAATGAACACAAATAATATGTACTAGTAATATACAATATAAAATCACACTGAAGTTTATATACTTTGAGATTTTATTTAAAAATTCTGAAACTGTACTCTTATTTAAAATAGTCTAAAAGCTTGGGATAGCCTATAGTTTTTAATATACAATTATTTATATAAAATATATTCCACAGTTTATAAGTATTGAAGTTGTGTATGCTTTCTTTGCCCCTCTCTAACTTGATTATAGATTGCTTACACACACACACACACACACACCCCTGCTAACTCAACATGAACTTTTGAACTGGGAATAGTGTGTTAAGATAAGTTAAATATAAAGTTGACTAACCTTGATAATAGTTTCCTAGAACCTGCAATAAATGTGTTTTATTTCAAGACAGATTGCTGCCTTCCAGGAAGCCAGATAAAATATATTTGCTCCTTTACTTCATATTTTAAATGAAAAATTTCCATTTTTTATAAGTCAATAAATGCCCCACAGGACATTCCATCCATAATAAGTGTATCCCTACCAATAAGAATTATGTGCTAATAAATATTTTATAAAATTGCACATTCTTTTAGAATGTTTACCTTTAAACTGAAAATGTGTTTTAAGTTTTTAAATGTTTCTTTTTGAAAATGGTGAATATCTTTCTTGTAAAATTTAATCAATGTTTTCCAGATTTTCTGAATACCAACAGTTGCTGTGGTGACACTTCCTATCACTTTTTTGCACCATTAATTGTTACATGGATAGAAAGGACTTATGAGAACCAAAAGTAACTTTCTTTTTTGCCTTCTATGTAAGGCTATATAGAGATAAAAATTGAGAATTTAAGACAGAGGTTAGTAAATTAACTGTGCAAAGGAACCTTGGAAAAGCAGTTTCTGACTGGAAGTCCTTCCTTTTCCAGACATGTGGTATTACAGCCATTCCATATTTTGTTCATAAATGGGCTTCCTAGTCATCCTGCTAAATCAGGTTAAACGCAAACACTGCTTCCCTGGATGCTCTCCAAAAGTGTCATTTAAGGCTTAGTAAGGAATTTACTTAAGGAATCACACTCTGAAAGTCGTAAATACATGGTGGCTATTTTTAATGTCTTAGGAGAATGATCTGAAAGAAAAGCTGAGAATATTTTCTCTGGTCATTATTGCCAGATCTAATTACATTATTATTGGGAAAATTCCTTCTGTTTTAATGTTCTTCTCTCTACATAGTGCCCTACATAATCTTTTGAATGCTAGGAAATTCTTTGCAATAATAAATATAATGATAACGTTAAGTAGAATTTTCATTAAGGTCTAAAATATAATTCAATTGTTTTATATTGTCATGAAGATTTGCTAAATTTGTTATTTGAAACATTTCTAAAAGAAACAGTTTTCAAGTGATAAATAAAATTTCATTCTGTACCCCCTTTGTTAGGGAGTTCTCTTGGTCTCCTAGGTAAGAAGTTATGTGGTCAAGCAAAAGGCAGGTGGTTTCAATTCACCAGTTTCTTTGCATAAGAAAGACAGGCAGTCTCCTGTCATGTGATTTACATTCTCTGAAAACCTGCTGGATGATCAGCTCTGAGTCAGTCCTGACTCCAGTGTAATGACTGACTGATTCCCCTCCATTATTAGGCTCCATCTTATTTGCCTTTAAAATATTAATTTATAGCCCTGGAGGGGGAAAAAGCCTGTTTTCTAAAAGCATAATATTTTAATATTTGTGAATAAAGTAAAAGTTGCATTGGAGAATTTATGTTGTAGGCAATTTTATTTTTGGGAAACTGAAAAATCAATAATCAGATACATAGATATAAAATATATAAGCAACAACTCATTAAGAGATTAAATACTATGGGCCTAATTTCACCAATTACAGGTTCTATTCTGGTAACTACTGTGACTATTAATATGAGTTTCCTAACTTCACATTTTCAGGCATCTCCTCCCGTGTGATTACTGCCCCTGAAAATTTATTGGAGGGTCAACTATGGGTTAGTTCTGATTCAATGGCACACACCAACAACAACAATATAAGATACTATTAGGACTCCCAAAAGGTCACTCACAGCACTGTTTCTTGTGTAATGACAATTTAAAGTGTCATAAGCTACGTGAAATATCTTTTATGTTGGTAACAGACTGTTTAAATCAGTGGTCAGCAAACTATGTCATGCTGGCCAAATTTAGCCTATTGCTTGTTTTATAAATAAAGTTATACTGATACAAAGTCATGCTTATCCAGTTATATATTGCCTATAACTGTTTTCATACTACATGGCATAATTTAGTTGTGAAAGTATACTGTATTATCTGAAAACTCTAAAATACTTACTATATGACTCTAAAGAAGGAAAAAATATTCCAACTTTGACCTAAAAGAATAACTCTGTTTTTGAATACAATGTTTTGAAAGCAAGGACAGTAAAAACGAGTAGTTTCCATTCAAAAAAGGACAAAAAGATAGCCCATCTATCTATGATATGACATAAAATCAGAATTGAGTCTTCTATAAAAGATGTTCAGAATCAAGAAGCCACCAAAGTCTACCAGAATTTCACAAGTCTACATATGAAACAAAAACTTCTCCTGACATCACTTTCAAAAGTAACTTAAAAAAACCCCTTTGGTTATTTATACTAGCCCTGATTTATTTCCTAAGCAATATAACTGTAAGTCAGAATCCCTCATTTGCTGTGAAATGCTTGTTTTTAATTTTCCTAATGAGTGCTTTTTTTAATACCTGAATGCAAACTGTTTGATTAATAAAGAGAAACACCTGAACTCTTTTTATTATGTTTATTTGTTAGAAATAATACATTCAAAACCCAAATAAACTTACCATCATTTCAGTTGTATATGGATTACAACTCAAGCAACAACCTTTTCTGAATGTTGTCATTTTATAAAGAAGATGGACTGTTTAGTGGAATGCTTTTATTTTATCAATAAAAGTGAGACTTTTGAATGCCTTTATTGTGATTTCACTGCTTGATATTGACTCTCATTTCTCGCACACCTATTAGTAACTTGGAGCCCACTTAGTCACAAACAGAGAAGTAGTACAGTTGCTTTTGTTAATGTTCTCATGCGACAGGCAGAGGCAGTCAATATTAGACCTGGTAAAACACATCTAGCTCTAGGTGAGATCTGAGGGGAGGTGCAGCAACAAGAAAGCAGGACCGACTGAGCATGCTCCTATTCAGGCAGAGACAGAAAGGGAGTGGACGTACTGTAGAAGCTGGCCATTACGTAGTTTTGGCAACGATCACCAGTAAACTCATTTGGGCACCTGAGAGAAGAAACAAAAAAACAATGGTAGAAAAACAGAGAAAAAAAAGAGAAGAGGTGAATATATGCTAGAAAGAAGCTCCTTCAGTGTCTTTTGACTGAACTTGGTGACTTTACTCTCAGGAACTGAATCTTTGTGCTAATCATGGCTTTTAGACTCAGGCATTTCCCAAAAATGATTTAAAATTTTGGACAAAATGTAATGCTTGAGTTTGTATGACAGAAAGGTCCAAGTCGTTTAGGTGACTTCTTTCCTTCAGAGGGAGCCACTTGAAATTAAATCTGACTTATTCTCTCAGTTTTTCATTTGATAACATTAGTCAAATGTGGAAAGAAAATAAAAATTCTTGCCTTGCCTGCCTTCCTTGCCAGAATCAGTGGTGGTCCCGATGATCTGGCCATTTTTACAACTGTAGGTAACATCATATAATGGGTCTATGCCTCGAGTGTCTGAACCATAATTAGAACAAAAGGAATCAATTACAACTGAGTTGTATAAAGCACCAAGTAGTAGCTGTTGTTGCTGTAGTTTGGGGAGAAAGTAAATTTCACATTATTTTAACATACTTTCTTGGGTTTGGACTTTCATGGGCACATTCTCAGTACATCTTGCTCCAGTGAATCCTGGCTGGCACCTAGAGGGCAAAAATGTGATGAGCAACAGAACACTAAAGACACAACTCAGACTGGCAACTTTCCGCCTATGGAATACGGAGATTCCTACAAATGACCCGGTTACAGAACAACACAAAAGAAAAAAAAATATTAAACGACAAACATTTAGAGAACCAAGTCCTGTGAAAACTGTGGTTATAGATATTCATTGTTTGCTTCTGTCTTCAAAAGATCAGTGAACTGAAATATAACTAGAATGAGGGGGACACTTTGAATTGAAGATCCCTCTTCAGCCATGTCACTGTCCCTTGGTCATTATTTCATTTGCTACTGTGCAGTGACACTTAGGACCTTATAATCAAGTAGTTTCTAACAATTTATATTCCCCCCACACTCATTACCTTTATTAAATAACCTGAGGTATTTCTTTTATATACATCCAATTTTGTACATCTTTCAGTGGCATTTTTATATAAATTAAACAGCTCTAGAAATAGTTATGTAATGGATCTTAAACTACAAGACAAATATTTCTATACTCTAATATTTCCTGACAATAAAAAGTAATTTCCATTTTTAAAATACTGCTACCTAGTAAATCTCATTTTTTCTTGAACTAGATACAGTAGAAACGAAATTTTTTTCGTGTAAATTTTACTTAACTCAATTGTCCAAAAATCAAAGACAAACACTTTTATAATATTATAATGGTTCTTCTTCTACTATAGTATTTAATAGATGTCATTTTTATTTGAATCGAGCTATTTTAGAAATCCTACCATACACCTCACACATTTTTCTCATACACGTATTTTTACATTATCAAAATTCTACCATGGTAATACAATGTACTATTTCATGTCATGCAGTGTGCTTAAATATTATGAAAGTCCTTTACAATTATCTTTTTGTTGTTGCTTAAGTAACTAAAGCATAATAAACAGGGTTATCAAAAGGGTCTAGTAAGCAAACATACTTATCCAAAGTAGTTATCTAATACAATTTAGTTCTGACAGCACGTACTTCACAATCTTTCAGGAATAAATGGGGGGGAAAAGAGCAAATGAACATCTGTATATAAGAACAGTCACTACATTTTTTTCAGTTTCTAACTGATTCAGGGGGAGAAGCACGATTATTAATTTGTCACAAATATTAAGGTAAAAGCTGATGTGTGCCCTTCAAGTCAAACTCTGTATTATAAAAATGTCCACTTATTTGGAATAATTAATGTTTCGGTTCAGGAAGAGGATCAGGAGAAAGATGGGAATTCTCCTCTCATGTGATTTACAGTCGCTGAAAACCTGCTGTAGGGTCAGCTATGACTGGGTTCTGAATAGATGACAAGGAATTGGAGTCTCTAAGAATTTGTTAATAATAGTGTAAGAGATAAAAAAGAGTACTAGTTCTAGATTTTATTTTCCGTAAGTATTTATGTAAGAGGCATAATGTTATTTTTGTTGTGTACCATCGAGTCAGAACCAACCTATAGCTGACCCTCCAGTGGGTTTTCAGAGGCAGCACAGGAGGAGACTGCCCATCCTTCTGAGGAGCAGTTGGTGGCCTCAAACCCTGTGCCTTTGGGATTACAGTGCAGCTTCTTGCCACTAGGCCACCAAAGCTCCATTAATGATAATACCAGTAAAATTAACAATAAATATTTTGTCTCAATATAACTCTCTTGAATTCTTGAAAAATGTATATTGGGAAACTAGTTATTTCTGGTTAGAAGACATTTGTGCAATGAAAAGAACATGATTTATCTAAAGAGATATGTGTATGAGAGCTATAACCTATGAGGTTGAGCCATTTTCATTAAAAAATGTCATTCTACATGCTTCAGTAAGAACATCTTCACAAATACATAAGAAAAACACATGGAAACTTGTTTTCTATAAAACATATAACAATTTCTGATGTAGATAGTTTACAGTTTCTGAAGCAAGACTACACATTCATATGGATATACAATAACATGTAAATAAATAGGCTATTTCCGACCTAAAGACATTTTTTTAATGATCTTTCTACTTTAACGTCTTGCATTTTTTAAAAAGAAAATTTATATTTTTTATTATGCTACAGTTCTCTTCTTTTTCAAAGAAAGAACATGATGATATGTGAAAACTCTAAGTGATGTGTGTGCATGTGAGAGAGAGAGAAAAAGAGGGGGGAGAGAGAGAGAGGAGAAAAGAGAAAAGAAAGAGGGAGATGGTATGTGTGTGTGAGAGAAAAAGAATATGTGTACATGTGCCATTTGAGACAAGGCAAGATATGCATTTAAGGCTCATGACATTAAAAATAAGATAAACAATCATTAATCCCTTGTGTAAAGTAATATATTCTTTCTAAAAATATCATTTAGGTAGTCTAGATGCAAAGAATTGGATGAATAACAAGTATAGAGCAAGAAAGTAAAAATCCTACACAGTCAATTTTCCAATTACTTCAAACTTCTGATAAAATATTTCCCAGAAAAACTAGCATTACTTTACAGGATAGTAGCTTTGCTGCATACTAAGACCACATGGAATATTTGATACAACAACACTGGAACTCAGATCTATTGGAGGTGCACAAATGCCTTTTGCACTATCCACACCATCAAAAGCAGAACCGTCCTATCGCAAATGCAGATCTTCATTTGGGAAATGGATTTTCCTAGTTAAAGCTGTACTATTCAAACAGTAGTCCATGGACCAAGAACATCAGCATCTCCTGGGAGCTTGTTAGTGGAAATGCAGAATTTTACATTTTAGACCAGAACTAAGAACATGTATTTTAATAAAATCCCCAAGAGATAAGTCTGTTCAAATTTAAAATGTAAGAGACTGGCACTCTAAAGATGGAGGGTGAGGTCTTCTTTTCTGGGCAGGAGAGTATTTTGCTGTTTGGCATGGACAGCCATTTGGCTTTATTCAACCACAAACTCCATTGTTGATAAAAGGCAGGAATTTAAGCAACTGATATGCTAAAGTATCTCCTACTATTTAAGTTTTCTCAAGTTTCATTCATTCTAATACATGGAGTTACTGGGCCTAAACTCAGCATCATTTCTTCTGAAACCACTGAAGGCTGACATAAGACTCAAAGTCTTTAAAATCACTATGGATAGGATGGATGTTAAAAACAATCGTGAAGGTAAACCACAAAATATCTATTGTTCTGCACTTTAATTCATCAGCAAAAATAGACATGAAGCAACAGTGGTAGACGTTTAGGACTGTTGACATATCACATGGAAAGAAATGAAAACTGGCTGGAATAGTTTCTACATAAGCAAATTGTAGCTGTCAAGGATTGTGTAGGGAAATGAATGAAAATACAAACTCATCTCATCTAGAAGCTCTAATTAAACTCTATAGAATAAATTTCTAAAAGAACAGGAAGACTCTTTAGCTTCTGATGTATATGCCTAAATTATCAACATTCTGTATTAGAAGGTAAGTGCGCTATGCAATGAATTACTTTCATGGGAGAGGAGAGAACTCTAAATTTAATCTGATTTTAATATTATTTTTTTAATTAGTCTATGAAAACTCCAAGAATTTTATTTCTTTGAAAAATACAAGTGTTTGAATGATAATCAAGCACATACACATGTGTCTGTATGTGTGTATAAATACAGGGGATTTTGTGTGTGTATAGAGGTAAATCTACACACACACACACAAACACACACACTCTCTTTCCTTTCACTATGATGTTGTCAGGTGCTCTTGAATTTACTTTGACTAACAGTGATCCTATGAACAACAGAACTGAACTTTGCCCTATCCTGTACCATCTACCAACTTCACTATACATATTTTTTCTCTCTCTCACTTTCATCCATCTATCTATCTATCTATCTATCTATCTATCTATCTATCTATCCATCCATCCTTCCACCTAGTTATATCTCTATATCTATCTCCCTATATTTGTTGTTGTGTAGTGTCTAGAGTCGGAACCTACCCACAGGTGATGCTATGGCAGGTTTTAAGAGGCAGAAAATCACACGACTGCCCATTCTTCTCCCATGGAGCAGCTGCTGGACTTGCACCATGTGCCTTTAGGAATGCAGTGCAGTTCCTTACCCCCTAGGAACTAATTTCATTGAAATTATAAGATGGGATTTTTTTCCCCTATTCTAGTATCTATTATTAATACTAGAGCAATGATGTTGGTTTGGTGTCTATGTTTACAAACTAAATAATGAAAGTGTCAACTTATATATCTATTAAGGGATATCAGTGAGTTTTAGTGACAGATACCAAGGTCTTCTGTTCACTCTGTAAATTAGAGTTGGCAGTGGATGGATACACCAGTGCATACACCAGGTCAAGTTGCTCTGCTCTGCTCTTTCACAGTTTCCTATTGCAGACATTGACTCTTCTCACCGCGTAGCCTGCTACACATTCTTTACAGAAATCACCCACTTACTGGCTTATTGTCTGTGTTACAGATTTTTCATTCCCAAATGTATTGTTACTATTGGTCTGCATTTTTCCATGATGAACCTCATTCTGTTAGCTATCTTTGAGTGAAATTTCTTGAGGCTTGTATTATGCTTTTCTAATTTGTTTTAGAGTTCTTTTTTGGCATCTGTCTTAGTTATCTCATGAAGCTATTACAGAAATGTCACAAGTATTTCTATTGTTTTAACATACTTAAATTTCTTTTTTTTATAGTTCAAGAGGCTGAAACGTACGAATTCAGAGAAAGAGCACAGGTGAGGCTTTCCCTCTGTCATCTCTGGAGGAAGGTCTTTGTTTCCTCAGCTTCCGCTTTCTATTCCCTTGGACATGTCCATGTGTCTTGACATCTCTCTTATCCTGTATCTCCTCTGTTTTTGAATTTAATTTCTTCTGTATTTCAAAAGAGATTGATTTAAAATAGACTTCACACTAATCTTGCTTCATTAATGTAACAAAGATGGGCCACTCTCAAATTAAGATTATAACCACAGCCAAAGAAGTTAGGATTTATAACACATATTTGGGGCGGGGGGCAGAATTCAATCCTTAACAGTATTATC